GAGTGAGGATTTGGCCTTGAGAGCAGACGATGAAACCAAGAGCCAAAAACTACAAAACTCCATATGCTGTGACCAAAACCCTCAAAAATCTCCCAGCCTTAGTCCGTAATGAGTGTGTGAGAAGCATTTGATGGGTTTTACGGGTCACCTGCCACCCTGGCGGTCGCTCCATCCTCACTTCATCCTCCCCAAAGTCTCGAGCCGTAATCTGAGAGTCAATCTTTCATTAGGGTGGCCGTGTAAGACCAATAATGGGAGATGCTGAGATAAGGATAATGTATGTCCATGTTGCGGGGCAGGGCGGTTGATCTTCCCAAGGTGATCGTTCCGGTTCAGTTCCCTCTTCCTGGAGCAAAAACTGTATTGGCACTTGAGACTTAACTGCTATCGATTTACTTAGGGGTTAGGAGCGTCCGCTCTGCTCTCCCTGCCTCTGCTTTCTCTGTTTATATTCCTCCCAGAACAACTCTGCCTCCTCTCTTTGTCCGGCTGTAGTCATCGCAGTGACCTGAGCGGTCAATACATGGATGGATGCAGCTCCTAATGACCCTAAGTGTTGGGATTGCTTACTCATATGAGCATGTATCTATCACGGCGCCTTCCACTAGAACCACGGTCGGCTCCTCTCCTGCCGCACCTTCGTCATCCCTGACACATTTTTTTGGTTGTATCGCTGGCTGCTGTGGCGCCCTAATTAGTAGCTGGATGTGACACATGTTTCCAATTTGCTACGTCTGGTCAGTGCATTGAAGGGAGGGGGTGACGGAGCGAAGGGGAGATAGAGACAGACAGAAGGTGACAGTGGGGGATAAAGAAGGCTCAAAGATTTCTACAAGTCGTGAATGAATGCATATCACCTGACGCCTTTTGTATTAAAATCATTATAGGTTGAGAAATGATAGAGTTATAACTGATTTAGTTATTGTTCTTCTTTTGGTTGCTCTCTTCGTCAGGGGTCATCACAGCGAACTAAGGCGCACGAAGACTTGGCAGCTATTTTTACACCGGAAGCCCTTCCTGACGCAACCACAGACCACCAAGCTACCACAACTGATGGTACCTCGGCCAACTGATTCACTTATTACCTAATATCTCACCGGACCTGTTAGCACTTGAAGTACATGCTGTGAATGACTTTCAGCTACTACCAAACAACGTTTTAGCTCAATATCTGTCAAATTCACCTTTTTTGGATAGGTTATGTTTGATTGGCTGTGATGGCTGTTTTGAATTGTTTAGTGTTTTATGAGATATTTTCCTTACAAACAGAGTTGACCATAACCGTTGATGCCAAAGTTTCAAGCAAAGATGTTGCACAATTCCTTGCACTCAAAAGATGTGCTGGAGATGACTTCTAGCTACTGCCATGCCAAATTTCAGCTCAATATCTTTAAAATTGACTGGTGCAATCTATTGTAGAGGTAAACTTAATCACTGTTTGATGAAAGTTTTGATAAAACAGTAGTTCATGACATCACTTGCCAATGGTATAGATAAATCAATAAACACAAAGAGAAGAGAGAAGATTTTTAAAATGGACTTGAGGGTGATAAATAGAGGCCTCGCAGTGAGGAAAAGAAAGACCGGAGATGACATAAAAAGAGGCTGCAGGTGGACGGTCTGAACTTCAAAGCCTTGTATCCAGAAAAGGTCTATGGGTTAACAACGTGACAGTCCGTTTGCTTCGCAAAGACATGAACCACACATGCACCTTGGCACCTGACTGATACCGGCTTTTGCATACCCTCTGCCTCACTTAAGAGCTACAAACCTGACGTGTGTGGGCTCCAGGAAGCCTATCACAGGAAGATGCACCCTATTTGAACAAGAATGAGGCTCAACATATTTCAGCCCTGAGCAAAAAAGCTTTTTTGCCTTAGGGTGGCTAAAGCTAAAGCATAGCTCTTGTCAAGTAAGGAGAAACAAGCACAGGGAAGTATGTAAAAGGACTAAGAAAATAAACTCAAAGAATGACTAAGCTGATTAAGTATGAATAGTAAGCTCCATGAATAAGCTTCGTTGTATACAATGGGCTTTGTATCTTGAATATATGAGTGAGTAAATCTGGAGGAATGACTGGGAAGTTTGGAGTCAAAGCCATCAGCCGTCTAATTGTGAGCCAATCACTAAGCCCTGACATCCACCTACAACACTGAACTCCATTAGAAGACAATGGCACGGATTCACCTGCAAGGCCTCAAAAGCCAAAGCTTCTAGGTAGAAACCGCCCTCCCGTGTCCGACTATAAGCGCGCCCTCCCTCCTCCTTGTTGGACGAATCCACCCACTGCTGACAAAAAGCCCTCATTAAGGGCTTCGTGCCTCGCTTCACAGCAGGGGCCCACGCATGGTCGCATCTGTGGAGAGAGTGGAGGAGCCCGGCAGGCCATAGCCTGCAGCACATGGCCGAGCTGGAAACCTGCTAGTCCCCGGAAAGGCCTCTGGCATGTGAGGTTTGGGTAGTTTTGGGAAGGTGGGGGTCGCTTGAAAATCTGCAGGGGTGTTTTTGTCATAATGAAGTGTGTAATGTAAGCATATTCACAGGAAGACATGAACCATTCAAAACCAGTGTTCCGTGCTGATGGTTTTATGAAGCTTTGTTCCTATTTGTTTTCAGGTTTTCACCTCCGTACAGGCTGGCCCTTCAGCGGCCACCAGGTCCACTCAGGCCTGGTCCACATGGGAACGCTGTCTTTCCAAAGTGGTCTTTTTCCTCATTAACAACACTGTTTCCAGAAATGTTTTCATCCACATGGAAACAAACAACGACCCAAAACGCTGTAGTAATGAGGGTTGTAAAAGATGGACATTTTTTTGTGGGAAATGGGAATTAATAAGAATAAACCTGGAATTTAAAATATTGAAGTTCAACCCTTAGCAGGGATTTGAATACATTTGGTAAAAATACATTTTAGCAGAATCAGGACCAAAAAAAATTACAGATTTCATTGCGTACCAAACCCTAAAATATGATGAATTATGACACCTGGACACGTAGGAGCAAATGGAAATATTAACATGTAAAAAGTTTAGTTCAGAGTTGTAAATAGTTTTGTTGTATAATACAATTTAAGACAATTAGTTTTTGTAGATATGACAAAAAGTTTTGTTAGGACAGTGGCAAGGATATTAGACTTTTTTAAACATAAATTTAGAGCTTTAATTTCCTTGCTGTGATGTGCAATTGACTGAATTTTTGTTTTGTTTTTAAGTGAATACAATGAAAACAATAGTTTAGAGTTTTGCATATGAATTTAGAAAAGGATTAAAACAATATCAAAAACGAGAACTATTAATATGTTAAGCCTAGTTCATTATTTGCCCATATGAATTTATATATATAGTTTGTTTAAATTACTGACAAATTTAAGTTTATTCCCCTAATTTTCAAGAAAAATGTCCAATTTGTGATATTTCACATAATTCTCCAGCTTAACTTCCCTTGGACAGTTCCTGGAAAAATTTGTAATATCCTCTCCTTTGCAACCCTGGTAGTAACTATGCCAGGCCTGTATGCGGCGCTGTAACACCACCATGAAAGTAAAACAGGAAAGACGACGTGAAGCAGATGCTCCCAACTGTAAACGAGAAGAAAATAAACACAGAAGCAAAAACTGGATCCTTTTTCTAGACTGACTGGGAGTTGTGTCCAAATACACGGACATACTGAACAATTTCAGGCACTGTCTCCCCCCAAGAGACAGAAAACTTGGAAAAGTTTTCCTCTTACTGTTCAAAGGGTTAAAAGCAAATCTTGCACAAGTGCTGGTCATTTAAAACTATTTTCATTTCCCACGATATTTAAATATACATTTGATGTATATGGTTGATTTTTTTCTGCGACGTTTGCTTTAGTGTTATTATCAGCTTAACGAAGAGATGCAAACACTAAGGATTCAGGTAATGATGTAACAAGGGTTTTGCTCTGTTAAATTTATTTGTTCATCAGCTTTGTCTGCTCATAAGTAATACTACTGGCCTCTGCAACACCAGTGCAAACATTTAATGTACTACTACTACAAATCTGTCATTATTGGTATCGTAGGTTAGGTACGAGGTGGGTTTATAACATTATCGTATTCAAAAGGCTGCGTATAGGCTGTCCATATGAAAATGCAACAGTGGTGTTTATTTTTTTTCACTCTATAACCCATTTTCAAACAACTGCCTTTCGAAAACTTCGAAAACATTTCCATTTGGATGCAAATTTAAAACAATTAAAAAAAAATACTTTTCCCGTATGGACAGGGTCTTGAACTTTTTGTAGTGTTGTGATCTTGCATCCCATTGGTATAAAGTAAAATAAGGCATTTGGGACATATACATTGATTAAAAATACAATATTTTGGGGCCCTGGGGTGCTGCCCTAATAAGTGTTTAAAAAGTCCGCCCTTGGCCACCCAGTCTACTCAGACACAGGGAAATTGGCAGAGCCGTGGGGGAAAAGTGGCCATTAGTGGCAGACAGTGGAGAGGTGTTTCAAATGACATTTCCTAGCTAGCGCTTGACGTTTTTACTAGGAGAAGGGAAAAAAAATGATGCAAATGAGCGTGGCCAAGTGGGCAGCGCTGGGCGTTCGAGGGGCCCAGGGGCCTGGACTTGAATCAAGGTCATCCAGCAACAGCAATCAGAGCACCACATAAAGTGTCCATTATCCACAGCTTCCATCTTTTCTTTGGCCTGGAGACTTTTCCAGGGAGAAGAACCCAATAAATCAATGCGACCGACTCGGTCCACATTGTTTAGATCAAAGTCCAAACACTTGTAAATAATTTAGATTATTTTGGAAGAACACTGACGGAATGGAAACGCTAATAGAAAACTCATTACTGCTCTGAGAGGCGTCTGAGGAAAAGGCCTGCACTCTAACTTTATGGTGTCGTGCACGTCGGGGTGCATTAGCAGTCTCCTTCAGAGTTCTCCCTTGTAAACCAAATTTAACACAAAACTTTGACCCAAACCGGCGTTAAAGAGTCAAACCTTCAGGTTTCCAACGCTTACCTTTCGTTCAGGGAATTCCAGTAGATGGGTTCCATATTGCTGGCCGTAGTTCCCAGTAAATCCAGTAAGAAAACCAGCAGGATCCACAATCCATTCCCGCTTCTTTGCCACGCCATCTCAACCCTGACGCCCAGTATATGCAGCCCCATCTGCAAGAAACCAGCAAGACTTCCTGGGCTTGCAGCGCCGAGTACGGATTCTCAAGCTGGAACAATGGGATCAAGACAGAACCAGTCAGATGAAGTCCAG